TGACGGTCCTGGATAGTCGACACTGGAGGGACCAGTGATGGTCCTGGATAGTCGGCGGCTGGACCTGAGAGGAGTCTGTGACGCCGGCAAAAGCCGACATCCGGGAGCAACCGATGGCGGTGTCAGACTTATGAGATCAAAGGCATTGGCAGCGCCATCGAAGATCTGGAAATACGGGTACTGCGAAATGCTGACTGGAAACTGGCAGCGATTGGACATACGAGTTAAAATTTGAAAGCCATTGTGCGCTTGACTTTGCTGTGTAATTAACGGCAGTTATCGATGCGGATATCACTTTTAAGGTCTTGTTTCAAGGCAAGCCATAGGTGTTCGGGTCTGAATGTCACTTAAGCTGAAGTTTCGTAGTTTGGACAGCCCGGATCGGCCAGTCACGCCTACGATTTTGTCACATTCGCAAACACTAATCACACCACCGTGAAGTTTTATACAGCAAGTGCCATAAGCTGGGACGTGATTTCCTGCTCAGCTGGGGACGGGGAAGCCTAGATTGGCCCGTAAAACCTTTAAAAAGAAAGCGGTCTAAATCCCGGAAGCCTGTGTGTTGCTGTATTTTGGGACGCGTTGCGTTATTTCCCATTGCCCAATCTTCCAGCGCATTTTGCAAAGCTACGTCCCTGAGCACAATGATTGAACATCGTGCTGCAACACCTTTGAGGCAATTGCGTGCAAGATATTGGATCAGGCGGTGTATTTTTATGACACTACAACATAATTACCAATTCGCCTCCGCGTTCGATTACCATGGGACCCTGCGCACGATAACAAAACACGTCAAACTGCCCGCCAACTGCGGAGCGCTTTCTAGAATATGCGCAGGTTCCGACGATCGGAAGTCGCAGCGAAGTTCGGCAAACTGATTCTGAAGTGGAAGAAAATGGATCACCGCACTGGTATAAGCGTGAGTCGATGTGTTTAGACCACCATGCGCGAGCATGCGCACACCGTGGATACGACCGCTTCGGATGCTTCTGGGGACCAACATCAGATGTCACCACCAAAGCAGGTCAAGACATCGAGCCAGTCCTGAGGCGCAGGCGGATGTACGTCCACATATAACGCGATCCCAGCACTGTCCGACCCACACGTGCGGGAGTAGTAGGCCGGGAGGAGGTCTGCATTACCTTGCCAAAATCTGCCCCGAATCTGCCACGGAGGGGCCTAAACTGAAGGAAATTGGGCCCTGAAAGCTATAAAGCCACATGGTCCAATGCATTGTGGCCATTACCAGCCCACGTATTTGTGTTTCAGCAATGCTTTCGTCACAATCACCCCATGAGTAAACTGTTTCAGGCCCACCAACGTCCTCAATTAAGGTTGTCAGATGTGAGGTGCGAATTGCTTGATATCTTCGCATGCCTGCCAAGCTCATGGACGCATCAGTGCACTTTTACGACCTCTTCCTGTCAGGGTGCCCACCGAGATGGGCTCCACTCACTCACCTTTGCTATCATACGCATGATGAATTATCTACATATCTCATAACCTCGCCCACATCCCACGGCAAACGGCATCTTGAGGGCTCAGACACTGCACGCTATATTTCTGGGTGCTGGTTTTTGAGCTGTTTGCATCACCTGCACTATTCATTATCATGGCTTCCGCCCCTGTATCCTCTTTCTCGCTTTATCGTGCATAATCGCGATTCCCCGTTTCTCTGGGGTAGGGTGCATGCGCCAGCCACGAGTGGGCCGAAGTGTCCCCTGGTGGGCCCCGTCCGTACGTCGAGGACACATGTCGCAGGATAAGGTCCCTGTGCGGATAAGCCTTCGGTGTATGAGCCCCTCAGGTGCATATAGTCCTGCCCCACCGTTATTCATTCTCCTTCGTCTCGCAGCCCTGAAGTGATCAAGGCTGTCCGACTGGGCTCTTATCGAAACAACCAAGTAACCAAAACGCGATCCTGAGTTTAATGTTGGGGGGGGGGGGGGATCACCGTCAGGTTCGATCCGGTGAGCCACCAGATGAGGGCCTAACCTCCTCAGACGGACGGCAAACATGCGTTTTTGACTTTCCACCTGTCATCATTTGTTTTACAGCAAATCATATCGCAAAAACGCAGCGCTGTTCCGACCTTATCACCGGAATGGAGAGTAGAAGCGCCACACCCTGATGATGGAGATTAGAAGTGCTGTGCCAACGACGCTGGTAGCCGTCTTTAAGCCCACATTATTGACAGCGACGAGGTACCCACTGCAGCGTGATGCGAAGCGGCCGCTCTGCCGACTGCATGCCTGGAACGCGTCCATTGATCGGCGGCCGGCTGACGGTCGATATTCTGGCGGCTCTCCACGGTTGGCGGTGCTCCGCCCCCAGCCGGTCCCTGTCGCTCTCCGCACCCCGCCGCTCGCCCACCACGTGCCGAGTATTGAGCGGCCTCGCCGGGACACGCCGGCCCAGCCGGCACAATGGCAGCCGGGGGGACGGCAGACAGGGAAATGAGGCGGGCTGTGAATGAGCCGAACCGAACGCCACCCGTAATGGCGCGGAGGGGAGCGGCCGCCGCGCAATGCACGTGTTAGCTGGGGCGGTCGATGGCGCGCTGGCGCAGCGCGGCCGCCAGCCTCTGCAGCCGCAGGGATGTTATCTCGCTAGCGGCAGACACATGGTTCTTCTGAGAGCCGTGAACGCTGCGGCCCCGCCGCTACTCCAGCGTGGTCGCCGTGGCCGAGCATCTGAGATACACTGCGTCCGGAAACAGCCTGCTACGCTTCAGTGTTGCGGTCACATCTCTGATGGTTCTTCGAGACCATTGCATTGTTTGAAACAATTTCAAGCATCTTTCCACATCTAAGTAAGCATTGAAAACTTATGGAAAGGCATATTCACGCCAGCCTTGACAAGACTCATGTGCTCATCTCAGCAGAGCAAATCCTTTACACAAAAGTAGGTGATTTAACTCGGTCGTCGAATTAAATGTTTGGGCACAAACCCAGCTTTGTTGCCTGGCTTCTTAAAGAATCATGTTCCCGTTGTGATTTGTGGCGCTCCCGCTGCGATGAAACACAAGCAGAGCACCGCCTTCAACGGAACACTACCGCTCCCTGCACCTTGCAGGGTCGCTGGTGGCGCCACTAAGCAGCAGCCCAGGCGAAGCTTCGAAACGGGCTTGTTTGTCGTGATGTAGTCATCGTACGACGGTTGGCTGGTGCAACTAGGACTTGACAACTAGCGTGTAAATTACGATAGAGTGGATCATAGTGGTCACAAATGTTTCCAGTGATAAAGCAACCATGATTTTCCCGATGTGCTGCGGCAAAATGATCCCCAAAGCTCAAAAGTTAAATTCAAAATGTAGATGTAACGCATAATTCTGATTACGTCACATCTTGCACAATTAGCCAGACACAACTGGCCGCAATTTGATCGAACAGTTACAAAACTCCCATCCAAATTCAAAATGTCAATTTAACCCATAACTCTGGTTCTTTTACATCTTGTGCAATCAGCGCAACACAACTGGTCGCAATCTGAAGTTACAAAATAGTTCCAACTGGCGCTGTGTTTGCAGGTTTTGATCTAATGATCACTTCTAGGGCGCTCCCGTACCTCATTAACCGCGTTAACGACATAAGGCGCTGTTTTCAGCTGCCGCACACCCTGGATGTGGCAGCGGCGCCTGCTCGCCAATACATCCACGGCGATTGACTCCGCTGCACAAGTTGGGGTCCCCCTCCACCCCCCCCCCCCCCCCACCTGGCAGCTGCCGAGCGAGCTCCCGAAAAGTATTCTTTCCGGTTCACCTGCGCCTGCCACATTTCAAGCCCACTTCCCCAAACTGACAAAGCCTTTTTCAGTCCGACAGGACTAACCTAAAGCTTTCAGAGACCTATCTTTGGTAAGCAGAACTCCTTCTCAATTTGATACATCCGGATCCATTGCACGTTCGGATGGTTCGAGCATAAACTTCTGTGATCCTTGATTTACCGTGTGTGTGGGGGGGGGGGGGGAAGGAGGGAGGGAGGAGGGGAGGGGTGGGGCTCTACGCTACATCGCTATGAGGGACTTTTCGTCTTAAATCAACAGCAGGCATATGACCATGTCTATTCGTACATCCATGGCGGCACCCCTAAATTAGTCAAGAGGCAGGTAGGGGCTTCAAGGCGTGCCGACGTGATAAAGAATGCAGCAGCACAACAGGACAGCGCCTTCATGTCACACCTTCGAAACGCGCTGGGTCGTCCGAGTCACACACACAAATGCGGCACGTTGAGACCTTGATGTATTCACAGGGGCAGACAGCTGGTGGCGCCGGTGCCAGCTGCAGTTTTCAGTGAGTTCTGCACAGGGGAGGCGAGCGGCGCATTGCGATCGGTCACACACGAGACCGCAGCCGCTCTAAGTCAGTGGTCCGACCAGCTCCATCGACGGCCAGCCGAACACGGGGTTGGCCGCTGCATGGGAACCACGGCACAGGACAGCCCAACGCGAAGGGACCGATTCCAGCTACCTCACTGGACGGCTGCGGGCCCGGACAGGCGACGCACGAGACAACGCAGCATAAACACGACCGCTGGAAGCGCGTGCAGATCGCTCCGCTGACGGCTTGCTGCATGCGCAGAAGCCAGTCGTTCGATGGGAAGTGGAGCAATCTAGAGGACCGGTGGACGAACTGACAGACCCCCTGGCCGGCTCTGGAGCTCTGGAGTCTGGAGCTCCCTGGCCGACTCCGGCAGCGGACAGCCCGACAGTCCGGCGACCGAAGCAAGAGGGAGGTCACAACGTGCCCCCAGTCCGGGGCGGTAAATGCGCTTCACATCACGCAGATCGCGCTCACTCAATCGACAAGGCCGTGACGATGAGCCCAGATGAACCGCCAACAAATCCAGCCCGCGGATGACACCAATATGCGAGATCGGCACCAAAGCGTCCGAGCACGCCGCAGCACCAGCTCGTCTGACACCAGCGACACCAGCACGACACCAGCGAGAGGTGAGACCGCTGCCAGCCGGCCTCCGCGCACCTGCAGCGCCTCCCCGTCCTCAGAAGCTGATGTCCATGTTGGGCGTAGGCGTGGGCGTGTCGGGACCGGAGCTGCCCGGCGAGCTGAGGTTGTCCTCCTTCAGCCGCAGCTTGTCCAGCTTCTCCTTGTCGTAGCGCTCCGGCCGGTCGTGCTTGTGCTTGTGCTTCTTGTGTTTCTTCTTGTCCTTCTTCTTCTTCTTTGCCTGTGAGCCGCAGGACGTGCCATCAGCGGGTGCGGGCGGACAACAGCAGCTTTCTAAACAAACGTCACACGAATAGTGGAGCACTCGCAAGACCATATGAGTACATAGCACTAGGCAAGGTACCGCTTTTCAAAGAAATTCCGAGCGAGTTCATCATGACTACTCGTCCGCCAGGGCGGGGCGGAGCACGTGGCACGCTGGTGGATGCTGTTCGGTGAAGGCTCTACCTCCAGCGGCACTTGCCAAGCACCGTCAGGCACTGTCAAGATTGTACCTGGTAGACCTATCTTTCTTGCGGAGGGACGTTCGCACACTTTTGGGATAGCACTCCACCAAGTGATGGCTAACAAGCGAAGAAGAAGGCTGTGCTGGTGCGGATAAGGGTGAGGGTGAGGGTGAGGGTGAGGGCGAGGGCGAGGGTGAGAGTGAGGGTGAGGGTGAGGGTGAGGGTGAGGGTGAGGGTGAGGGAGGGTGAGGGTGAGGGTGAGGGTGAGGGTGAGGGTGAGGATGAGGATGGGGATGAGGGTGAGGGTGAGAGTGAGGATGAGGGTAAGGGTGAGAGTGCAGGGAGGGCGAGGTGTGAGCAGTGAGAGTGAGGGTGAGGGTGAGGGTACAGCGAGGGTGATGGTGAGGATGAGGGTAAGGGTATGAGTGAGGGTGAGGGCTATCCTGCCAGGAGAAGACCACGTGGGCTCCAACTCACTCTGCCC